ATAAGGAACAAACCAGTGAGGGCAGAACTAAATGATGAAAAACTCTTTCATTATTAAAACAAAGAATTACATACTCCACTATATATTACATATTATATTATGCATACAACTATATTAGTTACCTTAAGTCACTCTTATCAGAAGAAGAAGGTAGGTTAAGGAATCCCTTTTTTGAACTTTAAAGTCAAGAGCGCGTATTGCTATCTAGCAGAAGATATTATAACTAAAAGAGTTGCAAGAAAGCACCATTTTTTTGAAGTGAAAATTTCTTTAGGCGCGTTTCGTACATTTTTTGTGGAAAGTGAATTGAACAATCAAATCTCCGATGTGTGACGTTCCGAAAAAGTCGGATGGAGTCGACTAATTGAAGTCTTTTCGCCTATGGATTAAAATATCTCAAAAAATAAAAATTGGATCTGCATATCGTTAGGGAGGGAAATGTTCATCATTTCATCCTCTTTGTCACGAGCACGGGCGGATCTACGGAGGGGGGGGAGGCGGGTTTCGGGCTGAAGCCCCCACCAAAGCCTCCACATGGAAATTTTTTTTTTTAAATACCTCTTAAAGTATTATTGTTCGTGTAATTACATTTAAAAGGATTTAAGGAATCACTTAAACACCATTTCATATCGGTAGTTAGTTTCTTTCTGTTTTTCCAAAGTAATTATCGTTATATATATGAAAAAATAAGCTTCCGGGCTGAAGCCCTCCAAAATTAAATCCTGGATCCGCTAGTGGTCACGAGCTATTATTCAAAATTATACCTTAACGCGACGCCGTGTTATAGAGGAAAAAAAAAGAAAAGAAAAAAAATAGTGAGGAAAACCAAATGATAACGAGTTATGATGAAGGGAAGAATAGTTGGGGTGGTCAGTCAAAAAAGAAGGCAAAAATAAATGATAATATTTATTTTTACATTTGCCGACTTTTCGACCTGAAGTTCAGGCCATCATCAGGGCTAAGAAAAGACCCAGATAACAAGGTATGAGAAATATAAAAATTACAGTAAAATGAAGTTGTTAGAATAATGACAATAGTAAGAAAAAGAGACAAATAATAATAACAGGTACAAAGTGTGGAATGATGAAGTAAACATAGTCAAAAAAGGTGACATAAGTATTGTAAAGGGAATCTTAGAATAAAATTCCCTTTACAAGCTTAAATAAGATTCCCTTTACAATACTTATGTCACCTTTTTTGACTATGTTTACTTCATCATTCCACACTTTGTACCTGTTATTATTATTTGTCTCTTGTTCTTACTATTGTCATTATTCTAACAACTTCATTTTACTGTAATTTTATATTTCTCCTACCTTGTTATCTGGTTCTTTTCTTAGCTCTGATGGTGGCCTGAACTTCAGGTCGAAACGTCGGCAAATGTAAAAATAAATATTATCATTTGTTTTTGCCTTCTTTTTTGACTGACCTCCCCAACTATTCTTCCCTTCATTATCCACGACAACGAGTTTTATTGAAGATATAGTCCAATCCACAGGTTGATCTACGTGGGAGGAGGGCGAGAGGGCTTTTGGGCTGAAGCCTCCCCCCCCCCCTCCCTCCGCCCATGAGTAATAATAAAAAGTAATAACTATAATTACTTTAGAAAAAAAGAAACATACTAAATGGTGCTTAAGTGATTCTTGAAGTCTTATGTAATTACAAGTCAAATGTAATTAAACGAACAATAATAGTTTAAGTGGTTATAATATGTTTTCCATAAAACATGGTTATAGTTTACCATTTTGGGGGGAGGAGCTTCAGCCCGAAAGCCCTCCTCCCACCGTAGATCCGCCTGTGATTGGACTTCAAGAATCAATTAAATACCATTTCATATACATAGTTAGTTTCTTTCTTTTTCTTCCAAAGTTATTATCAAAAAATATATTTTAAAAAATCTTTCGGGCTGAACCCCCTCCCCCCAAAATCAAATCCTGGAGCCGTAAGTGTGAATTCTAATAGGAAATTTAAGTCTCTACACCTTCTTTTAAATTAATTTATTTCTCAGGTGAATATCTTAGGCAATATGAAGGAATGTTTGATGAAAAATGTGAGGCAAAATGATTTTTTTTCGAGAGTGTCATATTTTTCTGAGCGTGTAGATCGAAAATGATTTAGAATTCGGATAAAATGTATAGAATAAAAAGTTTTAGATAATACTATAAACTTTAAATTATTATACGAGGAATGTCTCCTGTGATGGACCGTTTTCGAGATATACGCGAAAATCCAAAAATTGTGATCTTTCCTCTTCCCCTCCACATCCCGGCTCTATACCTAGACGTCTGGACTTCTGATATATTCCTACTCTTAGCCCTGGAGCCAGGACCCAAAAATCGACCTGATCGCAGCCGAAGGTTTGATTGTAAATTACGAAAGTTTATGTTATTCTGAGTAAAAAAAACCTTGTCTGCTGTTCCGGAGCCGCTGCTTTCAAAAATGGCGGTTGATATAAAGAATATTAGGCCAATAATTTGAGGATCGAAAAGAGAAATCCATTGCGAAAAATGTGAGAAAAGTTTCTATTTGTTTAACTTGTATATATAGGTTTAGACATGTAAAAAACAAAATTGCTAAAGCAGGCCACCAAGGGAAAACTTTTTACAGCCAAAAAAGTCAGATTTTTTCGATATTTTTTGGATTTTTCATCTATAACTCCTCAACGATGCATCAAAGCGAAAAATGTATTCTTTAATGAATTAAAGAACGTTAAATTTTGCGTCAAACGAGTACATAAACTTTAAAATTTGGTTACGCGGTATGGTGTAAAACCACGGTCGACCAACGCAGAGTTTTACCAAATTTGGCAAAAACTGAGACAAATTACTATAAATCGCCCTATAACTTGGAAATGAGTTCTCTAAGAGAAAAAACCCATAGAATCAAAGTTGTAGAGCATCAAATTTGGCGTATACTCAGTATCAACTAATTTAATGTAGGTCACTTGCTGCGAACAAAATGGGTAATCTCCCGATGGTTAGAAATTGGTGAATGAAGGTAAACGTGATTTTCAATATTTCAACAGTATGGGTGTCTATTCTACTGAGTTAGTGTTGTTTAAAGTCGTTTACATGCAATATGAGCCTCTTTTCCACCTCTCAACAACAAAAGATTTTGGTAAACGATATGTCGAAAGATACCGAATTTTATAAAGCAATAACAAATCCCGATTCGAGATATATAATTAGCCAACGATAAAAATGTCAGCACTCATTATATGCAAAATTTGATGCTCTACAACTTTGATTCTATGGGTTTTTCCTCTTAGGGAACTCATTTCCATGTTACAGGGCGATTTATAGTAATTTGTCTCAGTTTTTGGCAAATTTGGTAAAACTCAGCGTTGGTCGATCGTGGTTTTACACCATACCGCGTTACCAACTTTTAAAGTTTATGTACTCGTTTGACGCAAAATTTAACGTTCTTTATTTTATTAAAGAATACATTTTTCGCTATGATGCATCGTTGAGGAGTTATAGGTGAAAAACCCAAAAAAATATCGAAAAAATCTGACTTTTTTGGCTGTAAAAAGTTTTCCCTTGGTGGCCGGCTTTTGCAATTTTGTTTTTTACATGTCTAAACCCATATATAAAAGTTAAAAAAATAAAAACTTTTCTCACATTTTTCGCAATGGATTTCCCGTTTCGATCCTCAAATTACTGGCCTAATATTCTTTAAATCAGACGCCATTTTTGAAAGCAGCGGCTCTGGAACGGCAGACAAGGTTCCTTTTACTCAGGATAACATATGCTTTCGTAATTTACAATCAAACCTTCGCCTGCGATCAGGTCGATTTTTGGGCCCTGGCTCCAGAGCTATCTAAGGCACCCTAAACAAGTTCCCTGCTCACGCACTCTACAGCTACTTTTGGGTTATTCATTGACTGGTCTAATATGGATTAAAATATCTCAGAAACCAAAAATCGGACTTGCATACGGTGAGAGAATTGTTCAGCATTTCATCCTCTCTGTAAGGAGCTACTATTCCAAATTGCATCTTAACGCGACGCCGTGTTATAGAGGCGAAAAGAAAAAAAATAATGTCGAAAAACAAATGATAACGAGTTTTATGAAAGATATGGATTAAAATATCTCAGAAACTAAAAATCGGGCCTGCATACTGTAATCATCATTTTCAAGATGAGCTATTATTTATAATTTGTATTTCATATTATTAATCTCACCTTGATGTTTTCACTTCTATCCTATGGTCTAATATAGCACAGGCCCTCTGTGTTTTTTCCTAAGTTCCTAGTGTTTTTTTCATGTTGATCATCCATATTGATTGATTCCATCAGTATATTCATGAAAGGAATACAATTCTTTTTTTACATGTATATCCACTTGTTTACATTTGTTTTCCCTGCTACCTATCTTGCCATTGCTGGCATACAGAGGTATTGTTGTAGATATAGGAACAAACCCACTAGAGATCCAGGATTTAGTTTTGGGGGAGGGGATTCAGCATGGAAGATTTTTTAAAAAACATATATGACATTAATTACTTAGGAAGAAAAAAAAAAGAAACTAACTACCTATATGAAATAGAGTTTAAGTGATCCTTTAAGTACTATTAAATATAATCATACGAACAATAATAATTTTAGAGGTAATTTTTAATATTTTTTTTTCATAAGACATGGTTATATTTTACCATTTTGGGGAGTGGGCTTCATCCTGAAAGCCCCCCTCTCTCCCATAGATCTACCTGTGAACAAACCTATTCTAACCAGAATGGGAAGGTGACATTCATTCTGTGAGTTCCCAAGGAAATAAATTTCAACCTGCCTAGTTTGGATTTTAACTAGTGCTGCTAAATTCAAGAATATTTAAGTGGGCAATCAATCTGCAGTTGCAGCATCAAACTTCTTTACTTTGAGAAAGCTATTGTTGAATTTTTAATCATTCATTTTGGTTCAAAAAGTGATTATTAAATAAAAAATGCATCCCTCCCCAACATACATGTTTAAAAAAAATTATAATAAATTGAAATTATTTCAGGGTCCTGGAGATGTTAAGTACCACATTGGCACATATATAGAAAGACTGAACCGTGTTACTAACAAGAATATCAAGCTTGCTGTTGTGGCAAACCCTTCACATTTAGAGGCCGTAGATCCAATCGTCCAAGGCAAGACGAGGGCTGAACAATTTTATCGAGGAGATCGAGATGGAAAGAAGGTTGGTTATTTTATGTTTAAGATCACATTTAGTAGAACTAGTCATTAAGCATATTTATCATTTAAAAGCAACAAATCTATTCATTTTAAATTTTTTTCTGCTCAGTCAAATGCACTTAGTCCTGTCATAAATATTGTTACAAGAAAATATATACAGATTTCAACAAAAAAATTAATTTTTTCAAAAACTTTATTAGAAAATAAAATGTATATAGAGAGTAAAACAAAAAATAAATTACTTGAAATGCCCCCCTTTCGCTTTGACACAGGCATTTAATCTCCTTGGCCAGTCATCAATAGCAGCACGCAGTACTTCTTGAGGAAAGCGCTCAATTACTCGAACCAGAGATTCTTTGAGGCTCCAAGTTAGGGTGTGCTCTGTGGCAAGTCATCCTCTCCAGTTCGGACCAAAGCCAATAATCTATTAGATTGAGATCAAGGCTTCCTGAGGGCCAATCCGAAGCAGAGATGAACTGTGGAATGTTCTTTTTCAGCCACTGCTGAGTTGACCTGGCCTTGTGAGCTGGAGCGGAATCCTGCTGGAAGACCAAATGACTTCCAGCAAACAGAGTATCATTTAGAGGCTTGACAACAGGTTCCAAAATATCGTCCTGATAGTTTTAGCGGCTGTTTTAACTCCTTTTCACAAAAATGGAACTTTGTGGTGCCATCAAAGCAAACTCTCCACCAAACCATCACTGGGGAAGGGTTATGACCTCTTTCCACCCTTGCAATGACTTCCTGGACTTCTTTAGAGCCGTGTGCATACACACGATAATTTTGGCGATTAAATTTGTCTTCAATCGTAAAATTTTCTCATCGGTAAATAAAATCTTTCGACGAAGACCAGTGGCCAGTGGCCAAGGAGCACTTTGCATCTATCCACTCTAATTTTTCTTAGGGAAGTGGTTGGCCTTTGTCCTGTCATTCTGCGAAATGTACCCATCCTAAGGTCTCTTTTTACTTTGCGAGACAATGATCTGACAGAGATTCCCGTTTCCCAAGACATGATTTGTTGTTTTCGAATGGGATTTCTTCTGATTTCGAGCAGCCACTGCTGTCACTGCATTTGCCGTTCTCACAGTGCAGGTACTGCCTGGTCGAGGTCTATCACATACAGATAGGGTCTCATTATATCTATTTATAGTGCGGTACATGAACATACGGCTTGATACCCAAAGATTTCAAAGTGTTGAAAATCTCTGACCTACATTTTCCAATTTTGTGTAAAGTGATCACAGCTATTCGGTTTTCTTTATCACCCCACTCCATGTTAACTGAGCGAAAGAAAAATAAAAACTAATTGGGATTATTATCCTGACATGTAAAGAAAATAACCTGATAGAGGTAAGGATTATCTAAATAATACCCAAGGGTGTAAACAAAGTTCAACTTTTGTAACAGTATTTATGGCAGAACTAGGTACTGTATGTAATAAATTATAAAAACAAAGCATATACATTTTACAGTTAGTTTAGTTTTTATATATTTAATATTGTCTGTGCATTTATTTTAAACAGCGGTCATTGCCATTTTACTTTGTTTATTTTATGAGATTTGGGGAAGTGAAAATTTGATAATTAAGATCTGATGTTATAGTTTACAGTTTATAAATAAGAAAATTTTAAATATGATAAACAACCTTATTAAGTGTATTTATATTTTTTGTAAGTTTTTTTAGTAACTATTATATTAAATCTATATATATGATTATATAATTATCTAAAATCCTTTTTTAATCTCACAGCTTGTTATTTTACATTTAAAAATTATTATTTAATCCTTTTTACTGGAAAACAATATAGAATAGAATAGAAAATAAAATTTATTCTGGGACAGTTTCCCTTAAGTATAACAATTATGGAAAAAAATAAAAACCACATCTGGTCAAAAATTACATTAATCAAAATTAAAGAATATATACAATATCTTCACTGAAAGTATATCAAAACAAATAAAAAAATAACACCATTTTCATAAAAACAATCATTATTTAAATGAAAAGAAAAACAGAAATCAGATAAAATAAAAAACAAAATGTTATAAGTACTATGGATTGATTCTTTAAATTAAGACTCAAACAATTTCAACAACCATTCACCTCAGTCAAAATTTGATTCATAATATTTATTTCATTGTACGTCATTTTGGGATGTGAGAAGGAATTGGTAGAGATGATATTTGAATGAGGATAATGAAGAGGCATGGCGGATATCAGATGGCAAGGAATTCCAGAAGGCAGTGGATCGGGTAATAAAGGAATATTCAAATGTCTTAGTTCTATGGGAAAAGGGATATAAAGTTCGGAAACATGGGATCTTGTTTTCTGGGAGTGGACCATGGGTTTGAACTACAGGAAACTATAAATATAGGAAGGTTGTCAGGTGTTGATCATTGGAATAGGAAAGATCCAAGGAAATATTGTCGGCGGGAAGAAGGGAAGAGCCATTTTAATTCGTCGTAAAGGTGGGACACATGAGACTGCCTCAAAGTACGGAATACAAATCTTATGCAGGAATTGGTATGTCGCTTCAATTTATCCTCGAGTACTATTGGGATGCCTCTGTACACCACACAGCCGTAGTCAAAGTGGAGAAAAATAATAGAGGATACAAGGAGCAATGAAATTTCGGGAGATGAGGGCGATATGGGGTTTCCAGGAGAGGTTTTCGTCAATGGTGATTCCTAGGTTAACGAAGGAGCTGAATGTGATAGGATGATCGTTGATGACTAAAGGAGGAAGGGAGGAGATGGATTTAAGAAGTGAACTGGAACCTATAATAATGGCCAGAGTTTTCATCATGTTTAGCTTTAACTTAGAAGGGTGAAAAGATAAATAGATTTGGGAGTCATCAGTGTATAAATGGTGCAAACAATGGTAGATGGATTTGGGAAGATCATTTATATAGCAATTAAAAAGGAGAGGGGAAATGCTCGAACCCTGAGCCACTTCAGAGGACAGTGTAAAGAAGATAGGTGTTGGTTCAAAATGCTGATTGCTTGAGTTCGTTTAATATTTTTTTAAATAAATAAAAAGTGTACTAATGCATTAATATTTATTATAATACATCCCAGATCATGGAGAAAACTACAGCTTTTCATTAATTTATGTTAGTTATTTTTGCTGAAAATATGCTTACCTTTAGAAGAAAGGATATAAAATCACATCATTTCTTTCACATATTGAAGTGAATCTCAAATTTTTTCCTAGTAATCATCAACTTAATGAATATGGACTTAAAGCTAATTTAATGCGAAAGTTTTTTATAAAATAATGGTAACTGTCGTACAGTTGAAGGGTGATAAAAAAATCACAAATAATTTATGATTATTTTTTTTAAACGGGCCTTAGCTGAGTTTGTCTGCTGAATAATTCTCTTTAAATGATTTTAACAATGACAAATTCTACTTTGATTTGAAGTAAATTTTGCCTATTTTACTATGGAGCAATGTTTAATTACTTAAATGAAATATTTTTTTACTTAATAATAATAATAATACTTTATTTATTCTGGGACGAGTCCCTTTAGAATAATACAGGAAGACAGAAATGAGGGCTAAGGAGCCTCAGAGATATATAAATAAAAATACAGAGTAATTGAACAGTCTTGGTTAAAAAAAATAATATATATATATATACACATATACATATAAGTTGCTTTCCAATTTTGATCAGTTGATAATAAAAGAGAAAAAAAAAATAGATAAACAAAAATTGGAGTACAAATAATGAAGAACGAACTAATAATTTATGTACATATTTTCAGTAGTATCTATTTACGATTTTATGGGGACTGGATGGATAAGAAATGATTGAACAGGCGGGATTTAAAGGTAGGAAGGGTATTAGATTGACGGATATGGGAAGGGATGGAGTTCCATAGAGATGAGGATCGGATAATGAACGATTTGTCGAAAGCAGCGGTTCGGTGGGCCCTTATGTATAAATCAGAAGACCGGGAACGAGTATTGCGGGAACGAACAGAGGATTTGAATTGAAGGAGCTCGGAGATGTATGAGGGACGGTGGGATTGGATGACTTGAAAGAGGAAGGATGCCAGGAAATACTTACGACGGTAGGAAGGATAAAGCCACTTTAACTCCGCGTAAAAATGGGAAACAGAGGCGTCCCTTGGGATCCCGAAGATGAATCGTACAAAGCAATTTATCAAACGTTTTAGTTTTGCCTAGAGATCCCCAGAGAGGCCCCCATATACCGTACAGCAATAGTCAAAGTGGGAAAAAATTAAGGAAATGACTAGGAGCCTACGGGTTTCAAAAGGAAATAGGTGACGGGAGTAGTTAAGACGTTTTAGGATGGAAATGGTACGGCGGGAAATATTGGATATATGATTTTTCCAAGAAAGCGTTTGATCAATGGTTATTCCAAGATTTTTGATGGTGGGTGAAATTTGATGGGGTTATTATGTAGGAACAGAGTTGGAATAGTAGGGACAGTTTTAAGGAGGTGTTTGGAGCCTATTAAGATTGCCTTTGTCTTATCCACATTCAACTTCAACTTGTTTGTTCTTGCCCAGTCACAAATATATTTACTGCTTCCTATTCAACAAAACCGTGACTCACTTAAAATGACGCAAATCTTAAATTTCCTACTTTTCTGCTGGAAATTGGGCAATGGTTTATATGAAACTTTTTATAGAATTTGATGTCTACTATCAAGTATCTAAATATTTCTCTCAACTTATGGGATACTATATATATATATATATATATATCGATAGTCAAAGTGAGAATACATCATTTTTGAGCAAAATAAAAGAAAGTTCGTTGAAAAATAAATAAGAAGAAGTATGCAAAGGCATTTCATTAGTTATGTATAATCATTGTTCACTTTATTTACTTCTACCCACATTTCATATCAATATCATAAATTACATTGTTCTCAAGTAAAAAGCCATTTGATCGCAAATTTATTTTATAATTTTAATGACGACATTTTGACTAAAATTAGAACCATTATCGAACTCTATTTATTAATTCTTTGATATTACCCATACCAATATTTTTCTTAATTTATTTTAATAAAAAAAAAAAGTACGTCTTAGTATTTAAAAAAAAAAAAAAGTTAGGTCTATCATTGCCTTAATAGGTTTAGATATACTTGTTATAATATTTTTGTTATATTTTAAAAACAAATGAAGAAAAATATTGGACCGGTTAATGTAAAAGAATTTCTAAATAAGACTTAATAATGTGTCTAGTTTTAGCTGAAATGTCGTTGTTTAACTTAAAAAATATGTAAAGAAATTGGTGATCAAATGGACTTTTAGTTGTGAACATTTATTTTATTTATTTACTTGCTTATAGGTCATGTCAATCCTACTTCATGGTGATGCTGCTTTTTGTGGTCAAGGAGTTGTATTTGAAACTTTCCATCTTTCTGATCTACCAGACTATACCACCCATGGTACCATCCATATTGTTGTTAACAATCAGATTGGTTTCACAACTGATCCACGACATTCCAGATCGTCTATAAACTGCACAGGTAATACATAACTTTGCACTTATTAAAAATGCATTCTCAATTCTCTGTTGCTTCAAATTTCCTGCAGAAAATGTGATAAAATCTTCATGTAAAAACGGAAGCGTCCACATGAACGAGTCATAAAATCCTAATATATGTTGCTTCTTATAATTATCTTTAAACTAAAACTTAGGCCTTAGCTTAGCTATCTTGTCGACTTTTCATATTTTTCTTAATTGATTTTAGATTACATATACATACATACATACATAGGGTAGAGAGGGAAACGATATTCTCTCTCCCTCTTTATAAATTAAGGCCATATTCCACAAACATTGTATTTCTTTTATATTATCTTGATAATGTTTTGGCCAACACTAGGGCCATTTTCAAGTCTGGAAATTTTTGTTATTATTAAATTACATTTACAATTAAAAGATTAATTTTTTTCCATAATTAGTTAATCTACTGATTATTTTGTAGATTTATGGTTTGCATAATTATTATACTTTTTTTAATTGCCTATCATGTATGTAACATTTACATAGTTATATGAATTTCATTTTCACCTTAATTAAGTCCTTCAACTAAATATCCATATTGAATATCATTTTCCTTAATCTAAAAAGAATTAAATTGAGATAATATTTTAGGGTTTTTCCTTCGTCATCTATGGGGGACTGACTTATATCGTTCTGGTTTGGACAGAAAAAGGGAGAGAGATTTTTACTCGTATTATTTTGTAATAATTTATTATTTTATCTAAATTTTTGTTCGAAATTTGCTTTTTATTTAATTATGGTCTATGTGAGTTACTCCTGCTTATGTTCAAATTATATAATATATCCTTGTAATTATCAACTTGAAGGACAGAGTTAATCGCAAGCACCTTATTGCTATCAATCCTATTAAAAACGATCAAATGGCCCTGAAGCATCAGAAATTTCGATCTCGTTCCCAGTTTATCCAATCTATAGGCAGTTCTAAGAGCATGTACTTCCACCTCCAAATGCCATGATGTCAGATTTAAAAGAAAACCTCCATTGCAGTAGTGGGAGTAGTGCTCATAGCTACCGTTGTCATAAGGCATGCAAGCCTTTGAAGCTTGCCAAGCAGCATTCTAGGTCTGCCCGCAGCTGCTCTATTTCACCATACCACAGTTGCATAGAGGATTAAGGGTCTAATCGCAGTTCTCTATAGCCATAAGGCCAGGCTAGGTTTCAGCTCCCATGATTTGCCAACAACTCTTCTTCACGTCCATAAACAGCCTATAGCCTTACCACTAATTTTTTCAATATGATTTAGCCAGTCTAACTTACTATCTATAGTAATCCCAAGGTGTTTTACTTCACTACATATATTTAGTATTGTCCCATTTAATGCTGATGGTCTAATGTTAATATTCCTTCTATTAGTAAAGATACAAAGGTTTATCTTCTGCAGGTTTATGCCAAGGCTATTTTCCTGGAACCATTCCTCCATAAGTCTCATAGTGTTTTCGAGCAGTTCAGAGATGGTATCTGGAAACTTGTCCCCTATCAATACCACAATATCTTCAGCATATCCCTGAGAATAAAACCCTGCCGCATTCAAATTAACAATCAGAGAGTTGACGACCAAACACCGCAAAAGTGGAGACAACACACCTCCCTCCACTAATAAACCACAGTACAGATTGTCCCAACTCAGATTTAAGGACTCTTCCCCTCAGAACCGAATTAATCCATTCCAAAGCCATGTGTCCAACCCCTCAACTCTCCAATTCCCTAGTCATTGTATCATATGAAGTATGATCAAAGGCACCTTCAATATCAACAAAGATACCCGCCATAATCTCTTTCTGCGATAAACTTTTCTCGATTATAGAGATTAGACAATGCAACGCTGTCTCACAGGATTTGCCTGCTTGATAGACAAATTGGGCACAGTGTAGCGGTCTTTCTACTTATGTAGAGTCCCTAATGTGTCTATCCATAATCTTTTCCAACATCTTCCACATAAAATAAGTCAGACATACATGTCTGTATGCTTTGGGATTTTCATAGGACTCTTTCCCAGCCTCAGGTATATAGCAGACTCTTGCTTCCCTCCACTTATTAGAGATATATGCAAGTGCTAAGCTAACCCTAAATAACTCTAAAAGATAGGGTTTAATTGCAGGTAAGTCCTTTTGTAGCAGGGCTGGGAAAATTCCATTGGTACCAGCTGATTTGAACGGTGCAAAAGAATTAATTTCCCATTCAACTCTCCTAGATTTCACAATTCTTTTGGCCTCAACCCATTTGTCTTTGCCACAGATGTAGCTATTCATAGTGGGATTAATTATATACTCATCAAGCATTTGACAGCCAGGAAAATGAGCAATCGCCACAGCCTCCAGAGCATCGTCTCCAGAATGAGTGTTACCTCCTTCACCCCTGACCGTGCCAATGGCCAAACCATCTGCCCATACTCTTGGCGGAATTAAAGAGTTTTCTAGTTGTGGCTCTTAGCTTGCCAAGTTCATCGTTCCACCAGGAAACATCCCTGTTGGATCTGACACTACTGACATTATTATTGTCAGTGTAAGACCTCATATAGTGAGGAGTTGAGGCATTCCAGATGCCAAGAGTTCCTAATGATCTTAGGACAGCATTTGACTTCTTCCTCTAATTTTATACAGTATCTCTCCTAATTTGTACGTTTTGGGTTTCTGTATACAGTCTCAGTCACATTATATCCAGACAAGTCAAATCTGATAAAACGGTGATCAGAGCATGATTCTTCACTAGAAACGTGCCATCTCCTTATCCTAGAACTCAAGCAACGCGTGCCTAATGTCTATTACTTCCGAGCGGATTCTATTGACAAAGTTGGCAACATTGCCCCTATTCAGAATCTCAATATCTAAGCTCCTTAAGTACTCTAAAGAAGAATCACCTCACTGGTTGTTCTTAGAACTTCCCTAGATCTTATGGTGAGCATTGGCATCCAGTCTTGCAATCACCACTTCTTTTCCCATCCTCTCCCCTAAGTTTCTGAAAGCCGCTTTAGAGATGTTCTCTCCATAGGGGAGATATCCTGCCGCCACTATAATCTTCTCCCTGTTGTTTTTATATTTCAGCTGAAGATAAGTCTTTATAAATTATAAATATTAATTTTTTTTCTCCTGATGGTTTTTATTTTGTATAGGTCTTTATAATAAACATTTGCAAATTATTTAATATTTTCAGATGTTGCTCGTGTTGTTAATGCGCCAATTTTCCACGTCAATGCTGACGACCCCGAGGCTGTGATGCATGTTTGTAACGTTGCTGCTGAATGGAGGAATACATTCCACAAGGATGTTGTAATTGATCTGGTAGGTAATGGTAATTGAACTTCTTTAAATTGTCAATTGACTGGAAGAATAATTGTGAGTATTTAATAAATTTGAATATGAGAATATCTTTCTTTTTTGACTATTTAATAAGACTTTAAGTGGGCCAGTACTGACTTTTCTTCAAACGGTTTCAGAGACTGCAATACAGTACTATAAAAATTTCCACCAAAGACTAACTTACAACACAAATTAATTACCCCAAGAATTTATTTTACCATGAATCCTGACAAATTGCGGTGACCCACAGATTTTCTTAGTTAATATGTAATGTACACAGATTTGCTTATTGCAAAAACTTAATAAAATGATTTGTTAATGTTTATAAATGTATTCCTTTAAACAGGTATGCTACAGACGAAATGGACACAATGAAGCTGATGAGCCTATGTTTACTCAGCCTCTGATGTATCAAATTATTAAAAGACAGAGACCTGTTACTGAAAAGTATACCGAGAAACTTCTTTCTGAAGGTATAGTCAGTGAAGAAGAAGTGAATGTAAGTGGATATATTGTAATAATTATGTTCAATAATTATTTCAACTTAAAATATATATATTTTTAATGCTGTGACCATAGCAAGACCACACTGCAGGCTTTCAATTTTTATTGGGAGAGGGTGATGGAAAAAAAGGTGCCTGGAGTTTTTACTATGTGTAAAAATTCACATAATTATTGTGAAACGAACAAATATGATATTGAATATTTGAAATTAATTTGTTTATATGTTTGTATGGTTGTAAGGATTTTTATTTTTTATTTTACCTATTCTATATACTTGAAAATATATAAATAAAAATACAATTGTATATATAACATGTTTGTTTAGATTAAATACAGGGAGGGAGGAGAGACAGCCTTCATAATATTGGCACATTTCTAAAACTTTTTCAGCAAAAAATAAAAAGTGAAAAATATATTTGATTTCTTAGTGTGTACAATCTCATATAAAAATACGTCTTTCACAGTCTGACTAGTTTGTTGCAGAAAATGTGATAAGAATGTCATGTGAAAATTGAGGGGTGGTTGAATCATAAAATCCTTGGGTGTGTGCATTTGTGTGTGAACAGTCTAGCTTAAAAACTAAAAATCACACAAAAGTAAAATTGCATTTTAAGGTTATATTCTTGAGATGTTACAGTAACTTTTTCATCAATATCGACTTACCGGAAGTGGCACTTTATATAATCGATTTAACACCTTTTTATGATTTTCTCAAAAACAACTAATGATTTTTATTACTTACTTACTCCTCGGCACTATAGTCCGCATGGGACCTTGCCCTTCTTAACAATATGTCGCCACTCATCATGGTCCAATGTGACAGCCCTCCACTGCCTGACTCCAAGCTGTCTCAAATCTGCCTCAATATCCTTCAGCCAACGGAGTGGTGGCCTTTGAATCCTCCTGAGAATCTTATCTTCCCACACTCAAAGAGCCAATGTTTTGGTGAGATAACCCACGTCTTGCTTCCGTATGTGACTACCGGACGAATCATCGTTTTATAAATTGTCAATCTGGCATTCCTCAAGGACTATCAATAGTCTTCGAAATCGAAGTAGTTGCTGTACGGCATAAAAACATCTGCTTCCCGCAGTAATCATGGCTCCTATCTCAGCTCCTACGTCATTGTCTGCCGTCATAAGGGATCCCAGCTACTTGAACTCTCTGCATACTGGGAACTCATGTTGGCCTATGCTTAGTGTCTGATCTTGATGAGGGCGATGTCTTGAGCTCTTCATGTACATCGTCTTAACGATTTTTATTAAATTCATTATCTTGCTATATATTGAACATAGCCTAATGGTAACTGATAATATTTAAAGAAAAAATCAAGTCAACCTGGGCGGGTACCTGATACCCCCTAACAACCTTTTGTAAGTGGCAAGAAAACAAGTAAGAACCCCAAAGGATCGACACCGCTAGAACACCCAAGGACCGTCATCATAGTTACGTGGGAAAGTGGTTACCTAGATAGTAGTCGGGATACCTGAGACCCCAGCAACCTTTTAGCAGGGACTAGAACACTTGAGGACAATGCCGGCCAAAAACATCAAAGGACCAGTCTTATGTTTAAAGAAGATCAAAAAGCTTTTAAGCCTAAGCAAAGGAAGAAACGGTCGTTTACCTGCTAAAAGGGGTGTGTTCAACATAACACTGGGGGTGTGGTAATCCTTTCTGCTACACAAATTCAACCAATGGGAACCATGCTTGCCCACCCTAGATATGGAAAAAAAATTCACTGAGATGGATGGAAGAGGAGTCTTTTGATCAGATGCGACTGCCTGGCATAGAAGAGAGACGAGAGGTCTGATGTAGCTGCACGGCCTGATGGAAGAAGGCTGATATGGAGAGCCGGCTTGGAGTCTGATGTTTTCTTATAGCTGGAGGACTGAAACATGACCCATGACCAGATGATCTCGACTTCGCAGATGCAGCCATGACATCCACCACTTTGCATAACATAATAGATAAGTGATTCCCAACAATTCCTTTTAAAGATGTTTAAATATTTAATGGCAATATAAATTTTAAATTCTATCCATCTGAATCATGCCTTCACAACCAATTGTTTGGTTCATTAAATTTTGTAAATAGAATGTATATACAAATTCTTTCTTATATAACTATTTAATTATATATATATTATATATATATATATAATAGTTATTTTAATATATATAATATATAATATAATATATTTATTATATGTATATATATATAGTTATTTTAATCATGCCACCTATTTATTTCATTATAAGCACAGGTAATGTTTGGTAATTAGAGAACAGATAAACACACAACAAGCCTTTGTGAGAAGTAATCCAATAAATTAATAATCATGGACCAATATGTCAAATAACATAATTTGTTTTACTGATATTTTATTAATTAATTTTGGATAATTATCCTCAATAATTATCCAGTGACATTCCGATAAAAAATACAAAAACACAAACGCCACGTAGCAATCTCGGTGTAAAATTAAGCAGTTTTTAATGTAATGTTACTTTTATTCTTATTGATGTTCTCTAACAGTGCTTCTTCAATGGCTATTTTTCAATATTAGCTTCCTCTAAAGTACCTTTATTTTTTTTATTTAAAATAATCGGCCATTTCACATTGATCTCTAATACAAAAAGTAGTTAAATTTAAAATATAAAGAATTTGATAATTCACTGAAGGAGAAATAAGACGTCGTAACGGAGAATTGTTGTAATGGAGGAACCAAAGGAATACGAAAACATCCGATTAGAACAGACTTCCGTACGTAACATGAGCTTAATATAATACAAACTCAGAAAATATTATGAACATGTACATATGTGCTTTTCCTAAATCTTTTCATTGGTATTATTTAATATTTAATTTTACAGATTATAGCAATAGAAATATTAAAATTTGTATATATAAGGGTACTTAAACAAATAAAAATGCTCACAATGAAATATAAATAAATATAGTATCTATAATTTTTACTTTCACTTCCCCTTTGTCTGAAAATACTTATTTCTTTTAAGAAGAGGATGGTAAGTGAAAGTTGTGTGATGTACGCACGGCACTAGATTTTCTTCTTTATCAACTATGTTTTCATTTCTATGATCTATTTTAGTTATAATGAATTTTCTACAAAGTAATTATACAAAATTCAAAACAAATACATCATTTTCATCTGTTTCTTTTTAAAATCGATTATATTGGTCTGTTTACTTTATAGGATCTCAAAGCCAAATATGAAAAAATTTGTCAAGATGCTTTCGACAAGGCCCAGAAAGAGACTCACGTTAAGTTCAAAGATTGGTTGGATTCGCCTTGGACTGGTTTTTTCGAAGGTAAAGATCCTTTGAAGGTTTCTCCTACTGGAGTCAAAGAAGAAACCCTACTCCATATTGGCAAACGTTTTGCTTCTCCACCTCCCAATGCTGCTGAATTTGTTGTACATAAAGGTAAGTGATTTAAAGTATGAATTTCTGAAACTTTAATGCGTGCTATAAATTAATGTACATTAGAACCTCCTCTTTTATTCTAGTCGGGAATGAGACATAGCCAGTTAATCCGGAGTGTATAAAAGAAAAAAATTCTAAGAATTCAAAAACAAATGAATACTGATGCATTTCGTCCTCACAAAGGCCTAAAATGTCGAGACAATAAGTTATTTGTATTATTCCTCATTATCCCCAATCAACTTCTAAAATTCATTCTATAGTCAAGGACATCAACACTTTTTATTCATGTTTTTATTTTTTTTTTGTATAATCTTCAGTTTTGTTTATTTTTAATATTCAAACAGTAAAGTCTGGCAGAGGGCATTGCATGAATATCTACTTCATTTGGTACATATATAATATTTCAGACTAATACTTTATTATTATTATTCCGTACCTCTCTCTGCTGCTTGATAAAAACCTTACTTTAGACAATAAGGTTAGCTATCTGTACCCTAACGTAACAGATTGGGCACAGGTTTCAGTAGAAACTCAAAAGGACTACCTCATCTGTTTTACTGATGGGTCAAGGAAAGACTCAACTAGTTTAACAGGCGCAGGAGTCTCTATATAGAGAACCTAAATATAGAATTAAGCATACCATTAGGTAAACATGCTGCCATATTTCTGTGTTTGCTATACTTTCTGAAGCCACCTGTCTAGAAGTTACTAATTGTGAGAACGTTGGCATCACTATCTATTCGGATAGTCAGTCAGCACTACAAGCATTGGAGTCTCCCAAAGTGACCTCCACACGGGTGCAGGAGTGTAAACAGGCTTTGGAAACACTGGCCTGCTCTAAGAGAGTGGAACTAGTGTGGATTTCTGATCACGAGGGAATTAAAGGCAATGAAAAAGCGGACGCCCTCGCAAGGAAAGGAGCAGAATTTTCTATTATAGGTCCGGAACCTGCAACAGGAATATCCAAGAAACATCAGCGGAAAGAAGTTCTTTTTTGAACTTGGAAAAGAGCAGGTGAAGAATGGAGGGAATGTACTGGGTTTAGATTAGCCAAACAATTTATCAAAAAACGCTCCCCTCCAAAACTAAGAAGAGTTTTAATTTTAAGAATCAACCCATAGTGCTTATAACATTTTGTTTTTTATTTCCTCTGATTTCTGTTTTCCTTTTCATTTAAATAATGTTTTTTTTTTTTTTCAAAATGGTTTCACTTTTTTTTTTATATATATTTTCACTGAAAATATTGTATATATTCTTTAATTTTTATTAATGTAATTTTTGGCCAGATGTGGTTTTTATTTTTTGTTCATAATTGTTATTCTTAAGGGATCTCGTTCCAGAATAAAGTTTATTTTCTTTTTCTATTTCTACTTATATAATATTTCAGACTAATACGTTATTATTATTATTTTTATAATCTTCAGTTTTATTTATTTTGTTTGTCTTTAATATTCAAACAGTAAAGTCTGGCAGCATTGTCTCAATACTTACTTCATTCTGTATATATTGTTAGGTTACGTTTCCGTTGAAAAGTAAACAAACAGTTTTTGAACCAAATTATATTTATTTTACACAATTATTTTAAATTATTACATATTATTTCTCAGGTTGAGTTGAAACAATAACACACACATTCTTCAATTATATAGTATATAATCATACATTAATTGTATATAACATTTATGGATTTCCATTCAGTTTTGTAAAGGTCTACTCTTAATGCGCTTTCTAATTGTGCACTCACCCTGTTATGCAGTGAATCTTCCTCCAATTGTTGTTGAAGGCATTGTTGTATTCAACTTCTACAAATCTTCTCTTAATATTCTATTTTCCGGTCTTCGTCCAGACAATCACTACTTGTTGGTCCTATCACTCTCTGTCTAGTCTCGATCCTCTTTCTTTGCCGGGCTCGTTACTTTCTCTCTTAACATATGGGTCTTACTTCCCGTTCCATTTGTCATTCTGTGCCTCTTCGTCTATTTTTGACAGTAGATCGTGACGTCACTGCTTTCGCGCCACTATTTAAAATCACTATGTAATATTTATAATAAAATATAAATAATATTTCAGACTAATACGTTTTTATTAATAATATTATGTAATGTATATTATATCTTATTCCTTGTAAATTATAAATAATTATAATAATTCTATTTTAGGTATTGAACGGATTTTAAGAAATAGAATGGCCATGGTGGAGGCAAGGACTGTTGACTACGCTCTAGCTGAGGCGATGGCTTTTGGTTCACTCCTTAAAGAAGGTTATTAGATCATGTTATCATATTTGTTTTTCTTTTGGATGTTTTTTCATTTCAATGTAATAAAAAAACTGTTTTACTGTTAAGAAATATATTAGGTTTTGATTAACAATTTTAACTTTGTTCCCTTCAATAAAATCCATTTTTACTGATTGCTGTACCTCTTTAAGTCATTAACGGATCCAGGATTTGATTTTGGGGTGAGGATTCAGCCCGAAAGTTCTTTTTTTAATATAATAATAATAATAATAATAAAAGGCTTAGCGAACCCGGCGGTTCGATGCCGACACCACCAATCGCTTATTACACACCTCCCTCCACCGTTCGCCGTCCAAACTCAGTCCCTTCAGATCAGCTTCACTTCGGTCTACCTCTCGGACGTTTACCATTCGGTTTAGCAAATACCAACCTTTTAGGAATTCTTTTGTTACTAAGCCCTACTATTTTACACAGCCCATTTGATTCTCTGCGATGTAATCACCTCAATTATATTAACTGGATACAGTTCACGCAACTCGGCATTGTACAATCTTCTGAACTCTCCAGTTAACTCATCTTTCTACAGTCTGAATATTCTACGCAATACTTCATTTTCAAAAGTCTTAAGACTTTTTTTAATATATGTAACAATTGTTACTTTGGGAAAAGAACAAAGAAACTAACTATGTATATGAAATGGTGTTTAAATGATACTTGAAGTCCTATTAAATGTAATAACATGAACTATAATACTTATAATTACCACTTTGGTGGAGAGGGGAGCTTCAGCCCGAAACACTCCCCTGATCCGCCAATGCTCTAAGTGAATTTTCAACTAAGTTTGAGAAAAAAATAGTCTCAAATCTATTTAGTTAATCTCAAAAACTCTTACTTTTCATTTCAATTCAATGATTATTGTCTTTTATTGCATTTAATTTTTTATAGGTATCCATGTGCGTCTATCTGGGCAGGATGTTGAAAGAGGAACCTTTTCCCAACGCCATCATGTACTTCATCATCAAAATGTTGACAAAGCTACTTACAGGCCCCTTTGCCATCTTTACCCTGACCAAGCTCAATACTCTGTCTGTAACAGCTCTTTATCGGAATATGCAGTATTAGGTAATCTTCCATCAACTACTTCTTAACCAAAGATAAAAGAATCTTTACTTCTAAAATTTATTATAGTTTCCTTTTTTCGTATTCTCTTTTTACTCTTTGCCTATTGGCCTAATATCAAATGGCAATGAATGAGGGAAAAAATAATGATGAATGAAGAAAAGTCAAGACTAATATATAAAATTTATTATTTTTATTTGTAGGTTTTGAGGTTGGATTTTCCATGACGAATCCTAATGCTTTGGTCATTTGGGAAGCACAATATGGCGACTTCAATAATGTAGCTCAGTGTATTTTTGATCAATTCATTTCTGCAGGTAATATAAGAAAAACTGTCTTAAAATAATATTTTTAAACAATTTTTTTAGTGATTTATTATAATTTGTAATCTCATTATAGAAAAATGCAGAACTAGAGCTCTATGACAAACAACCATACACCCATCATAGAAAACAGTTCTTATCAGACTAACCCGAAAACTTTAACAAGAATTGTCAACATTAAAAAAAAAAACAAGTACAACAAAAAAAAGTACTTGAATTCAATGAACACAAAATTGAATGAAAACAAAATATGTTCAATATCCTACCCGACACACAGACAATACCTGGGCCATAACAGGTGAAGAAAAAGCTAACAAAACATCTTGCTCAGGTATTTGGGACGAATAATATACTCACTCATCGAAAATACACTCACTAAGATGACTTGACAACTCCACTAACTCCACCAGCATTTCATCCAAAACATATTTATAAAGAAATCAACAGATTTCCAAACAAAAAATTTCCTCTCTATGATCTAATCACTCCCTTCATCCTTCGCCACCTACCCTTAAAAGTCGTTCTCTTCCTTACTCACATCTATAATGCTATCTTATTTCCCTCTTGTTTGGGGAACTTTCTACAATAAAAATGATACTAAATCCTTCCAAACCCTCCAGTAATCCTTCATCTTATTATCTGATTGTCCTAATACCTGTAATCGGAAAAATATTGAGAAACTATTTCTAATATCTCCTACTAACTATCTCTAAGGATAGAGGCTATTCTAGAAAGTTGAAAGTTATACTAAACTGATTTGTCTTTCTTTTATACAACTCCACCATAGAGTGTCATCGTATAATTGACACTATCTCAGTCACCTTTGAGATAAAGAATAGTGCTCAGCATTATTCCTAGATATTGAGATAGCATTCCATAAAGGTCTATTGTGGAAAATAAAACCACACAGTCTTTTTCTTACTTTCAGATACTTCAATGTTCCTTTACAGGTCCTTCTATATTTCTGTTGATTCTTCTGTTTTCCCTTCTTTCCTGAACTTGCTGGTGTACCACAAGATAGTATTTTAAGCTCTCTCCTCTTTTCCCTCTATACATCTGATATCTCTGTGCACCCTTGCGCTACTTTCTATAGCTTTGCTGACGGTACTGCAATTCTTCTTTCCCCACAAAAATCCAACTATTGAATCAATTCTTCTTTTAATGGCTCAACAGGCACATGAAGCTGCTCAACTGCTGCCAACAAACCATCATTCTCTACATTCTGCAAGGGTAACAGGAATCCTCAGTTTTCGAGGATTCTGCCCCCACACCATCTCCCCATCGGCCTACCACGTCGGCGCATACCATCTGTAATGTTAATATACAATTTGTGAGCCACTCTTTCCTCTCTCATCCTCATCACATGGCCAAGCCATTTAAGCCTCTGTATCTCGATATACGAGGAGACGCTACATTTCTTGTAGAGCCTAAATAGCTCACTATTTTTCCTTCTTATTTTTTCTTCCAATTACCATTCTCAGAATTACCCTTTCAAACCTGTCTAGCAGATTAATGCTTTTATTGCTTAGGGTCTACGTTTCTCCACTGTATGTGACAATTGGCCTTATCAGCATTTTGTAAAGCATAAACTTGGTGATACGGCTAACAAGTTTGCATTTGATTAGCCTTAAAATGGAGAAATAGGCTCTATTCTCTACTGCTGTTCTGCTTTTAACCTCTTCTTCTTTATTCTGGTTATCGCTGATAATAGATCTAAGGTAAGTAAAGCTTCTGACCACTTCGAAATTGAAGCGGCCCATTACAAAGCGACTTTGCCTCTAACCCAGTGACTTCTTACCCAACACCATAATCTTCGTTTTCTCCCCATTAATGTGGAGGCCGACCTTTTTTGCTTCGACATCCATCGCTTTGAAAGCAATCCTGATGCTCTGAAAGGATCCACTGATGATAACGACGTCGTTTGCATAGGCCAGAACTTGGGTCATTTTTGTAAATATTGTTCATTTCTGATTTAATCCTGCTCTATTTATGGTACTATTGCATCAATTACCCTTTGAAAATGGGTTGAAAAAATGAAAAATTAAAATAAACGGCATCAGGTCAAGTAATGTTAGTTTCTTCCTACTAAAAGTATTGTAATCTGCAGTAACAGTAGACAACAACCCAGTTCCTAATTTTACTTTAATTCCTTAATTTTCTTCTAAACTATTGGAAAGGGTTTAAACAAAATATTTTTTTTTTTTTTCTATTTCTATTTTGTATGTAATTTAATCTGTGTATTAATAGGGAGTATAAAAAAAATCGACCATTTTTCAACCAAATATTTGTAGTAGATAGTCCCTGTATTTACTCCTTTAGTTGGCATTGTGTGAGGGAATGAGAAGGAATATACAGGAATGTGAGGTTGCACGATGAATTGTACTCAATTGTGCAGTATAGTGTGCAGTGTAACGCGAGTGGACAAATTATTGATTGAAAAGTCTCATATCGATAAATAATCGATGAAGAAGGAAGAAGGTTGGAGGTACCGAAAGGACCCAGCAGGTAGCAAAAGCTGGAGAGAAGAGAAGGCATTCTAGCCCGGGACAGGTAGAAAGGAGGTTGTCAGAAGAGAGGAGGACGGACTTGAGGCTAGACATTGAGGCGGAACACATACCTGGGAAGAGAGTCTACTACAAGATTTAGAAGATCAAGTCTATAGTTATAACACTTTAATTGAGTCAATTTATTACAGTTGTAGAAATAAATTGTTTTGTTAGACAGGAGTGAATAGTCCTTTATTTAGTTGTCCTATAGGCCTCATGATTGAAGAATAACAAACCAGGTGAGTTAATTCATTCAAAGTGTATTTACTAAGTCCCACATTTCAAATATATATTCTTATTCTTTCTTCTCACTCAGTGTCACAAAAGGTATTAGATTCCCGAATTTCCAACAACAGTTGAACACCCTCAAAAGGTCTATATCCAGTGCCGGGTTTTTTTTTTTTAATAATCACGAGTGTAAATAACCTACTCCCCCGATATAAAAGCGGAAGGCTATTCGCCAGTTCCTGCCAAAAACAATAATTTTAAATTAACTTTATTTGGTTATTTACAATTTGTATTATTTTTCTTTGATTTAAAATGCAATTAATACGCAAAGCATAGTCTATTGTTATCTACTGCCATCTGCTAGCCAATTTCTCGATCCCACGCTGATACCATTCTTTGGGATGGCTATCAAAGGACTACAATGGCTATTGGACCACAATTTCAATTTCTACAAAATTATCAAATTTTTTCTCTTGAAGAAAATGAGCCATGGATCTAAATGGTGCTTTTCTGTGGTTCAATGGGAAGTGTGGGTATGAGCATTATCTTGTTGGAATAAAATTCCTTTTTGGTTGATCAAAACAGAATAACGCTGTGACAACATCGCATACAATCTTTCCAGTTGTTAGCAGTAGAGTTCAGAATTCATAGAGCATCCATCAGGAACAAATTTGTGAAGAATAACACCTTCAAAATTCCAGAAAACGCAAAGTATGGATTTTTTTTTTTTAAATTGCCTCCTTACAGCAACTGGAAAAGCAGTTATATGCGATCCAGCCATTGCTCACGGGTTTTCAGATTTTGCCAGTAAACCCACTTTTCATCACAGGTGGCAATCTTCCGATAAAATCTCATTTCAGAAGGGCTTTTCAATAAATTTTCACAAATTTCTAACCTCTTAGCTGATTGCTGAGGAGTAAATTCGTGAGGGACCAGTCTACTGCTCTTTTTCACGTTCCCCATGGAGAATTGATGGCGACTAATAGTATCTTTCGACACACTGCACTTCCTGGCAAGTTCGTGAGTACTTGTGGATGGATTTGACTTAACAGCTTCCTGCAGAACCTCATTAATGGTCGCCCGGAGCATTTATTCTTTTCCAACGTTGTATCTCCACTAGATTTTTCAAACCAACGCCACACTGTGCGATGGTAAAGAACACCTTTCCCTTCATATTTAATAATTTCATGTTTTTCTTCAGTGGCTGTGAAATTTTTTTTCCAGTTATACCTTAAAATTACAGTCATGTTTCTTCTTTAAAAGAAATAACTAAACTGAGGCTTTATTTGAAAAATTCGAATGGGATTAAACAAGCTTAGAGAATGCTCTAAAGGGATTATTAAGTATTAAATAGGATTAAAATATTTACAGTCCTTTGAAATCTTGAATTTGATAAAACTGTCTTCTTTTTTTATAGACTCTAATATAAATATGTTAATCAGTTAAAAATTCTTTTAAGGAGAGATAAAAAAATTATTTCTTTTAGGCCAGGCTAAATGGGTCAGACAGTCAGGACTTGTGGTGCTACTGCCTCATGGATTAGAGGGAATGGGCCCAGAACACTCATCTGCCCGGGTGGAGCGTTTCCTACAAATGTGTGCCGATGATCCAGACTACTTCCCACCTGAATCTGATGAGTTTGTGGTTCGACAGCTGCACGATATCAATTGGATCATCGCCAACTGTTCGACACCTGCTAATTATTTCCATATCCTCAGAAGGCAAACAGCACTTCCATTCCGTAAGCCTCTCATACTCATGGCACCAAAATCACTTTTAAGACACCCCGAAGCAAAGTCATCTTTCGATATGATGACTGAAAATAGTCAGTTTCTTAGGTAAGTTAACTCTCTAATTAGTAGTTCATATGTATTTGTTATTTATAAAATAAATAAATTAGATTGTTTAAACCTTTTATTTTAGGGAAATACATGACTATTTGTGGTATTTTGTGAACTAAGAACATGTTTGATTGATTTATCTATTATAATCCGAGAGCCCGTGATAATCGACATTATTTGATGAAAACTTTGAAAGCATTTTTTTTTTTATATTTATAACATTTATATTAAAAAAATGAGTCTGCCAGTCCGATCTTGCTACCAGTAAAAATGGTGCCCGATTTAAAGAATATTAGACCAGTAACTTGAGGATCGAAATGGGAAAATCATTGCAAAAAATGTGGGAAAAGTTTTTGTTCTTTTAAGTTGTATATATTGGTTGAGATATGTAAAAAACAAAATTGCGAATGCAGGTCACCAAGTGAAAACTTTTTGCAGATAGTACAATAAATTGGGTTTAGTAATATCTCAAAAATCCTCCCAGAAAAATTTTCCAAATTTCACCAGAAACTCACTCATCATCCAAATCCTGTAGCACAATCCTTATCGAGCTCCAGCCACCCCTATAATTCTCACCGGAGGTTAAACGGCAGTGTCCCCACGACCTTTTGTAAATATGTATATATTGGAGTACCGGCAATGGCCAGATTCTCCACTCATGGCCTGAGCGTCTGTTACTTTAGTGCCCTCCATCAGTCTCCACTGGCTTGCAATACCAGTGATGCGGCTGGGAGAGAAGCACTGGAATCTCCTGGGGTCCTCCCTTGGCTTCCACATTAGGGGACAAAGCATGACTCAGAATCCTCTGGGCGAATGTAAATATTGTATATAGGTCTGAATGTGTTTTATATATTTCAATTTCATTTAGCTTTTCTCTTTTTCTTTTTTTTATTTATTTTTCTTTTTCTTTTTCCTCTTGTTTTATTTATTTTTTTTTTACCTATGTATGTTAAACTCTTAAATTCTTGTATCTCTATTTTAGTTATCATTTGTACGTATATATTGTGTAAATGTTTAATGTAGCCCTAATATTAATGCTCTAAAATGCGGCAGAATGTATTCATTAATTTTCAAATAAAAAAAAAAAAAAAAATTACTAAACCATTTTTACCAACATCCAATAAAGGTGTATGTTACAGTATGCGAATTAAATGTTAGGCATAACAACAAAAAAATCCCTAAAAGGTTAATATACACAGGTAGACAGATACCAAGGTGGGAGGGTGCGTTAAGGCTGATATGGTGGAGTTGGTTTTAGGCAGCTGTCATGTGATGGAAGTAGGTAGACAGTAATTGGTGGTATCGGCATCGAACCTTTGGGTTTTATAATACTTTGTTATTTTTATAATACATCTTAAATCTTCTAAATCTCTGTTTGACATCAAACCAATCCGTCTGTACTGCCTCTTCTTTCACATTTCTTGGTAAATGGGACATGACATTTATGTAAGTGGTCCAGATATCTCATTCATTGATAACTTTTGGTCTGTTCATTTATTTTAATTAATTTTATGCATCCAAAATTCTAAATATCAAATGAAATGATTTTATCAAGAAATTTAAGACTGGTGCAAATTGACTACTTGTCCTTAATTCTGAGTAGCAAATTTAATTTTAGTACTTAAATAAATTAAAAATATGAGTGGCTTAATATCAAAGACAGACATCTGCCATTTTAAAAAATTTGAGAGAAAGCCAATTTTATGTAACAAAGCTTCAACTCAAGCCAATTCTAATGATTTATTTCATGATATGACTTCAACAATCTTAAATAAAATCACCAGAAATATTTTGAATTGAACCTTTAAAACAAAATTTTTTTTTTATCCTTTGCCTGAATGACAGATGTCCGTCTTTAATATGAAGCTACTCATTTGCTGAAAAAAAATGAACATGTCTACAATCACTCAAATTCCACAAGATTTTTTATTGGAAAATACTCATGTACACCTATCCCCTCCCTTTTTTTCCTTAGTCTTAGTTCATTAAACAATGCAGTAAATATTATATGTTTTTTTTTTTTTTTGTAGGATAATACCCGATGAAGGTCCTGCTGGTCAGAATCCATCATCTGTGAAAAGAGTCGTATTTTGTACTGGAAAAGTTTACTATGATCTTAAAAGGTCCAGAAGTGAGCGTAAAGTGGATAAAGATATAGCTCTTGTGCGCGTTGAACAAGTAAGAACTTTATAGTAATTAATAAGAAAAAAAATTCATTTACATTGCTTTAGTTTAAAGGCGTGTTCTGTTTTAAATTAAAATATTTGTTTTTTATTTTTATTTATATCATAAACATTTGTTTTCCTGTTCTTGACGATTTAAAAACAAAAGTGCCACTTCATTTAACAGATATCGCCGTTCCCGTATGACTTAGTAAAGGCATTGTGTGCCAAGTACCCAAGTGCCGAGCTCGTCTGGGCACAGGAAGAACACAAGAATCAAGGTGCTTGGTCCTACGTTGCTCCGAGGTTCGCTACAGCTCTCAATAAAAATAGGCCTGTTCGGTAAGTTGATCAGTTCATTTTTAATTATAATATTATTCATTGATTCATAATAATAAAAATAATACTAAATTCATTGTTTATTATAATGCCATTCATTATTTCATAATACTAAAAATAATATTCAATTCATTGTTAATTGATTATATTATAATTATAATGCTTATTATGTATTATAATTGTTTGAAAAAAGAGGAGGGAGAGGGAACTCAATACATACGAGTGATCATAAGAAAAAAAAACGCTGAAAATTATTTCACAATGGTTTATTATTCCCAAACAATTATACATCTAAAGTAACATTACCTTCCTAGTGAAAAAGAAAAAGAAATAAAAGGTGATTCCAATTATTGGACTAAACACTTTTTTTTTAGTCATTAGTAATATGCTAAAAAAATTAGCATTACTTCAGTAACAACAACCAAACCAAAGGATTATAACCTTTGCAATATAACATATAAAAAACATCTAGAGACCATATCTCCTCATTGTCCGATTTTAACAATTTTTTTTAGGAATTCCATAAAACTTTTAAAAAGTATATACTTTTTGAGTTATTCGGAATCTAATTTTACCATCCTTTTCGTTTAAGTATGTTGTATAGATAAATTTAAAGGGCATTGAGAAGAACACTTTAGCAAAATTTCATTGAAATTGATACATTCGTTTACATGCACGCTACAGTCTATATCAATGCAAGTTTTTTGGTCGCCATCTTGAAAGGAAAAGGGGAATAGAAATGTCGATGAAGGGGGATCATCCTCGGGTGACCTGTAATTTTAAATCCAAATTCAGTAGTTTCAGAGACAAACGTACAAAAAAATTTTTATTTGTTTTTTTAATTCTATGTTTCCTGAAACGTAAAACTTCATATTTTGAGTGTGAGTTAAGTTTTTGAATTTTTTGTTCGATCACAATGGTTCATTATTGAAAATAATAAACCAAAATCTGGTGCACGTACCACACAACACTTTCACTTTCCACCCTTTTATTTCAGCAGATATAGATATTTTCAGGCAAAGGGGAATGAAAGTAAAAATTATAGATGATACAAAATATTTAGAACAAATTATTACCATATGTTTTTCACAGCTGTGTTAAATATTATATTTATCCTTTTTTTGTCACTAACAATTTCTTTTTATGACTGTATATTTTAATTATTTATTTGATTACAATTAATAATTTAGGACCATGAAATATTTTTAGACCGACAATAGTACCATTGATAAAGAAGGCCATTACATTTATTCATATTTTATTGTAGGTATTTTTATTTGTTTTCGTTAGTATATATACACATTATAAGTTTTAGCCGATTTTGACTAAAAAGATGCTGTAACTAGGTGTATACCTATCTTAAACATGTAATATCAGTTCCATATGCCTTTTCGTTTTTGAGATAGGCCGTTCTCACACACACACACACACACACACACACATACAGACCATTTTATGGTACTTAGTTATTTGGACTCAGAGAACCTCAAAACGTGTATTTCCTTTGAAAACAGAGATTCGAAAATTTTCACGATCGCAATACTTCCCCTTGCTATTTATTACATATATAGGTAAGTGAAAGTAAAAATGCAAGAATTGAAACAATAATATATTTTAACATTTCAATTAAAAAACCGTACATAAACCTATGTATAAGAAAAGTGTCAATACTGGATATGATTTCACAGAAAAGTATATTAATGCATTTGAAAGTGCACTTTAAAAAAAAAATAAATTCAGTCTGCATTTTTAAACAAATACTATTGTCTTTATAAGTATTATTCATATAGATGTGTGCAGGTGCTATTCAGAGAAATGATTAAAGTGATATTGAAACCATGCATCTTTTTTAACATAAATGAAATTGATTCTAAAATATTAAATCTACAAAAATAACATAAATGTTCATAAAATCATTGCACATTATTTAAAATATAAAACATAGAATTTATTTTATTTAATTCATCTTATAATTTTTGAAGAGTTCTAATAAAGAAATAAAAAGGTTATATATGTAGCCATTTAAAATGTATTTGTGTTCTAAATATCCTTTCCATCAATAAAATAAAAATCATCCTTACTTTTTAGTGATATATATTCATTTGTTTATGTCATCAAAGATCAATTACTTATATATACTTCCTACTAATTTATTGCTATTTTTCAAGATTTAGACTCCATTCAACCGAAAAACTGTCTTATAAAAAACACTTCCACTAACATTTTTTTTATGGATGTTAAATATTTAGGACGCAGTCATTATAAAGTTTTTATTGGTGCCGACGTTTCAATCCAAACATGTGGGTCATCATCAGGGCATGTTTTTCGAGCATTGAAGGTATTCAAGTATCTTTATCACGTAAGTATTTATCAACAATAAAAACTTTATAATGATTGCTTCCTGAATATTTATCACCCATGATATGTTGAACAGACGATAAACTTCCTTCAATATTTTTTTGTTTAAGTTTTATTAAAAAAAAATTAATAATGATTTTGGAATCTGCTCTTAATATATGAATGGCTTCATATCAAAGACAGATTCTGTCGTTTTCAGAAAGTGAATAAAAAGTAATTTTTTTTTATTTTCAACTGAAACTATTTCATGTGGTTTTAGTTAAGTATGTTCAAGTTGATTGATGGAAATAAATCATTAGAATTGATTTTAATTGAAGTTATGTTTCAAAAATGTCATCGTTTGGTAGATGTAGTCTCCTCTGATTGATGTTGACGTCCCGGTATTGGTATAAACTCCATAAATTCCTACCACCTACATACTTCCTCATCACCTGTTCCTATCTTACTGATAGATACTTCAAAGTAAAACACAACAATGCCTATTCATGCCTTTTTTCCCAGTCTGCTGGTGTTCCTCAAGGTATTATTCTATATCCTATAAGGTAGTATCTAGGTCCTATCCTTAACACATTCTATACAGCTAACATCCCAACACTGTCATCACCATCTATGCCAATGACACCTGTGTCGTATCAGTTAATAATGACCCATCATTTGCATCCCAAACTCTCCAATCACACATCACAAATTTTGAAGAATGGTGTCAAAACAGGCGAATCAAAATAAATTCTAATAAATCCCATCAAATCACCTTTACTCTTCCTCATAAATGTATGACTTCCTGTCCTACAACTGTAGGACAGGAACAAATCTGTTATCTAGGACTCCATCCACCTGAACAAACATCTAACTTGGAATCCTTATACCAGACTAAACAGATAAGAAACCACTCAATGTTTCCGACTACTTCAGCACTTAATAGACAAACACTCTAAACTCCCAATCAACTAAAAAAGACTCATATACATGACTATAATAATAATATAATACATGACTATTTGGACATATGGAGTTGAGCTTATTGGCTCCACTAAGCCATCGAATTCCTCTCGTATCTAATCCTTACAATCCAAAATCCTTCATAAAATCCTCAATGATCCTTACTTTGTCACAAATAAAATCATCCATAATGATCTTAATGTTCCTTATGTTTCCGAATTGGCCCAATCCAGATACCTATCTTTCCACAATAAACTTCAGAACCATCCTAATCCTCTCGTTTCTAACCTTGCTTCCTCTTCAATCTCTGATAACCCCCTCTGAGGTGTCTGAAGAGAAGAGGGACTCTCATGATCTCCTAATTTAAATATTTTATTAGAGTGGCACCAATGGGTAGATTCTCTACAATTTGTTGCTATTGTATTTCTCTGTACACATTTACTAGATGTATATTTAATTTGTACAGTTGTAAATTTCATGAATAAATAAAAAAATATATGTATTTCCAAAATTGGCGTATTCTCAACTTTTTAAAAATGAAAAATCTCCATCTTTGACATGAAGCCATTCATATGTTGCCAAAAGTACAATGCATCTTCATATTTGGTATAGCTTATTATATATTTTAGAGTTTACTTTTTTTTTTCTCGGTTTTACCTCCTACCAGGTCATTTTTGACTTTAAGGATAGGGAGTGAGGGTTATTTTAGAGGTATAGTCAAACTTATTCTCATCAGAGTGGGAAATTGAACATTCAGTCCATGGGTCTGCCACAAAATAAATTTCAACCCGTCCAGGCTGGATTCAAACCGGATTCACTTAACTTAAGATTGATAAAGCGGAGAACGCTCAACAACTATTGCCTTCTTTTTTTTATCATCAGTCTGCAAAATAGATATATTTGTAAAAACAGGATTCATACATAAAGCAGACCATTATATCTATGAAATTAATTTTTCAATTTTCATCCAGGTATGCTGGAAGGCAAACATCACCATCCCCTGCTACAGGTAGCAAGATTACTCACATCAGAGAACTCAACCAACTCCTAGATGAAGCACTTCATCTTTGAAAACTACAAATTATAAATTAACAAAGATTTAAATTTTGTGTAAATATAAGTGCAAAGCATTTTCTCATCAACGGAAACCCAAAAATTTGGAAAATTTAATTATCCAGTGGCTATTGTTGTTTTTTTTATTTCATGTACTGAAATATATATCGTATTGTTATTAAATGTCATTATGTTGTGAAGAATTATTGTTATGTTTTCATGTATTTTGTTTGTTTTAATTCCTAATTTTTATATTTTATATAATTGTTAAACTAATAAAATTATATTGTTATCATTGTTTTTGGATATTCAAATGACTTTTCCCAAATTAATCTCATGGCTTTTGAAGTACTTAAATAAGTTGGGTTTATACATCATAAATGTTTTGAGCAGTGTGATCATTTTGACAGGTGATGTATTCTAAAATGTAAAGAATGAGGTAGTACGGCGAGTAAGGCATTGTGCTTTAATGCTTCATATTTTGAGTTCGGATTCAGCTATGGTAGGTAATTATTTACTCTGTTACATCAGATGTGGATCAACCCTGGGTTAGGGATGTAAGTACACTTAATTAAATAATTGATGAAGAGTAAAAAAAATTGGCTGTTGAGCATGACCTCGGTCAAATCACCTCCTTGCACAACTTCTAACAGAAAAACAGATCATCCTTACAAAGAACTGAATTAAAAAATTCCTTTTTTTTTTTTTACACACTACATAGCCATTTCTGGCATACGGATTAAAAAGTGAATCCAAGATCCTTCCTGGGTTGTAATGTTGCATGCTTTGTATTAAATAAATCTCATGGAATTTTGAGCTAAAATAAGTTGGTTTTATAAATTAACCTATTTACTGCTCAAATTTAATTTTATAAATTCAGAAAAAAAGCTAAACGAAATGCTCTCTATTCCAATGTTTTTAAGGAACGAATATGAAGTTGAAGAAGCTGTGGATAAATTCACAAACAGCATTCAACAAGCTATATTGTCTTCTTCTGTCCCAAGGTCCAACAGAAATGAGTGGCTTCCAACATATCCTCAGTACATAAGAGATTTGATCAGGGCAAAGAGAAGAGCTCGCAAAGTATGGCAAACTGGTCGACTGCCATCTGACAAACGGACATTCAATAGACTTAACAATGAACTAAAACGACATATTCAAAGTTATAAAACTACAATTTACGACAACTACATCAGAAATCTCTCTACTGACGATGGGAGCTTATGGAGGCATACAAAAAAACTTGTAAATCATCGTGAAGTGTCTGCACCTCTCCGAAACGAGGATGGTTCCTGGGCCGTGTCAGATATAGAAAAATCGGAGCTATTCGCTATCCATCTTTCTTCTGTTTTTACTCCACATACTGACTTCAACAACATTGAACACGAAGAAAAAGTACTAAGCACTTTAGACATTCCACTACAATTAGAATTACCTCCACCTTGTTTCACTCCGAAACTTGTTGCAGAACAAATTAGACAATTACCTAAAAAGAAAGCCCCTGGTCATGACCTGATAACTGCTCAAGTGCTCCAGAAAATGCCTAGAAAAGCTCTAGTTTACTTAACATCTATTTACAATGCAATACTCAGAACGACCAAATTTCCTGTACAATAGAAATACTCACACATTACAATGATCCACAAACCAAACAAAGACAAATACACCCCTTCATCATACAGGCCAATTAGTCTACTCCCAATATGTTCCAAAATCTTTGAAAAACTACTATACAAAACACTTATGAACATATTGACGGACGGAAAAATAATACCCGACCATCAATTTGGATTCCGACGACAGCATTCAACCATCCATCAATTACACAGGGTGACTGACTACATTGCAACTACACTGGAGCAAAAATTGTATGCAACTGGAGTATTTCTGGATGTCGCTCAAGCATTCGATAGAGTATGGCATAAGGGTCTTCTCTTCAAACTTAAGACGATACTCCCTCCTACCTGTTATCTTATACTTCAATCCTTTCTTTCTGACAGATTTTACTCTATCTGCCAAGGCTCAGAACTTTCTTCAATAAGACCAGTCTTAGCAGGTGTTCCTCAGGGGTCAGTACTAGTTCCGCTTTTATACATTATATACACACACGACATCCGTAACAGCGCCAGAACTATTATAGCGACTTACGCAGACGATACAGCTATTCTGACAAGACATAAAAACCCAACACACGCCACACAGACTTTACAACATCATCTAACAAAACTAAACGACTGGTGCAAACTCTGGAAAATTCGACTCAACCAAGACAAATCACTTTTACTCATCGACATGGAACATGCCCTGCTATTTACCTTGACAATGCCGAAATTCCTCAAACAGATGAAATACAATATCTTGGACTGACATTCGACAGAAGAATGACATGGGGCCCACATATCAACAAAAAAAAGAAAAACATTAAACCTCAGACTACGGCTGTTATACTCACTTCTCTCAAGACGTTCAAAATTAAACCTAAAACAAAAACTGAACACTTACAATTATCTACTTAAGGCCATATGGACCTACGCTTCACAAATTTACGGAACAGCCAAAACGACACACATACGAAAACTACAAACTTTTCAGTCTAAAACTTTCATAACCATAACCAAAGCTCCATGGTACGTCACAAACATTACACTACATAAAGACCTTAAAATGCCAACAGTTAACGATCACATACGGACATACTACAAGCGATTTCACAATAACTTACATGGACATACTAACACACTTATACCAAGTATGGCTACATTTAACATGCCCGAAAACACACTTAGGAGGCTCAAAAGGAGCTGGATGAGGGATTTCCTCACTTAAAAATATGCTAAAATCAAGATAGGAAGGGATGCCGCTGGGTACTCCTCTCCATCACGCCGATCAAGCCATTACCTGTACACTTACCGACAGCAGACCCGCTAATTGTCATTGCATATGACAGGTGTGGGTGAATAAATAAAGTTAATAAAAAAAATAATAAAAAAAATTCAGAATTCAGTAGATCCGGGACTGATGTACAAACTCCGTAAATTCCTACCACCTACATACTTCCTCATTATCCGTTCCTACCTTAGTGATAGATACTTCAAAGTAAATCACAAAAATGCCTGTTCATCTCTTTTATGTCAGTTTGCTGGTGTTCCTCAAGGTAGTATCCTAGGTCCTATCCTTTACAAAGTTTATACAGCTGACATTCCAACCCATCCCAACACTGTCATCACCAACTATGCCGATGACATGTGTATCCTATCAGTTAACAACGATCCATCAATTGCATCCCAAACTCTCCAATCACACATCACAAGTCTTGAAGAATGGTGTCAAAACTGAAGGATTAAAATAAACTCCAATAAATCCCATCAAATTACCTTTACCCTGTGTCGCAAACCTATGACCTCCTGTCCTACAGTATTCTTAAACAATTCCCCACTTATCCCCGTTGAACAAATCCGTTACCTAGGACTCCACCTCGACAAACGACTCACATGGAATCCTCATACAAGACTGAAATGACAAGAAACTGCTCGTCATTTCCAACTACTCCAACACTTACTAGACATATGCTCTAAGCTTTCAATCAATTACAAACGACTTATATATATGACAATAATAAGATCTATTTGGACTTACGAAATTGAGCTCTGGGGCTCCACTAAACCATCGAATTCCTCTCGTATCCAATCCTTACAATCCAAAATCCTTCGTAAAATCCTCAACGCTCCTTACTTTGTCACAAACAAAATCATCCATAAAGACCTTAATGTTCCATATGTTTCTGATTTGGCCCAATCCAGATACCTATCCTTCCATAATAAACTGCAGAACCATCCGAACCCTCTTGTTTCAAACCTTGCTTCCTCCTCGACCCTGATAACCCTCCGAGGCGTCTGAAAAGAAGATGGCCTCGGGATCTTCTAATATAGAACTTTAATTTGAGTTCTACCAATGGGTAGTTTCTCTTCATATTTTACATGTCATGTTACTAATGTCACATTTACTTGTATTTTTAATGTAATACAGTTGTAAATTTCATTAAAATAAAAAAAAGAATTCAGTAGTATAAATTCAGATTTTTTCACCTAAAGTTGAAGTTGGTGATGAGGGAACTTCAGTTGTTAGATGTAAGATAGGCAAAGTAATAATAGTCCAGTCAATGAATGACACAAAAGGGGGTGTAGTGTGTAAGCACCAACCTAATAGCCCTGGAGCCAGTGCCCAAAAATCGACCTCATCACAGGCGAAGGTTTGATTGTAAATTAAAAAAATGTATGTTATTCGGAATAAAAAGAATCTTGCCTACCTTTCCAGAGCATTGCCTTAAAAAATGGTGGCTGATTTAAAGAATATTTGGCCAGTAATATGAGGATCGAAACGGGAAATCCATTGCGAAAATGTGAGAAAATGTTTTTATTATTTTTCCTTCTTTTTTTTTTTTTAACTTTTAAATATAAAATATAAAAATATTGTTTTTAACTAACTTTAATTTTTTTTAACTTGTATATGGGATTAAACATGTAAAAAAAAAATTGCTGACAGGCCACCAAGGGAAAACTTTTTAGTCAGTCAGATTTTTTCGAATATTTTTTGTTTTTTCACCTATAACTCCCAAATGATGCATCAAAGCAAAAGATGCACTCTTTAATAAATTAAAGAACCTTAAATTTTTCGTCGAAGGAGTACATAAACTTTATAATTTGGTTACCTGGTAAGGTATAAAACTAAAGTCAACCAATGCTGATTTTTACCAAATTTATCAAAAACAGAGACAAATTACAATAATGGTCCTTTAACTTGGAAATTTGTCTCCTAAGAGGAAAAAATAATAGAATCAAAGTTGTGGAGCATCAAATTTTGCGTCCAGTGAGGACTAACTAATTTAATGTAGATCACTTACTCTCACAGGCGGATCTACGGGGAGGGCTTTCGGGCTGAAGCCCCCCCTCCCAAAATGGTAAAATATAAAAAAAAAATATTAAAAATAACCTCTTGAAGCATTCTTGTTCGTTTAATTA